GCGGCGCGCCGCCACCGCCGCCACCGCGCAGGCGCGCCCGCCGCGCGCGGGCAGGGGCCGCGAGGAGGCCACGCGCGCGCCGACCTCGGCCGCCATGCGGTGCAGCGTGCGCAGCGTGGCCTCCAGCTGCGCCGGCTCCAGGCCCTGGGGGTGGCCGTTGTCCTCCACGCCCAGGTAGTACACGCAGGCGCCCTCGCCCTCTGACAGCCGGTACTGCAGCTGAGTGACCTGCCCAAGAATGGTGGGGGCGAAAATTGAGGGGTGAGGTGACCGATGAAGGGCGGGCGGCAGACGCCCCCCTCACGCCTCCTGCTGTTGCAACCCCTTGCACCCACCAGCTGCTGGAAGCGCACATGGCTGACGGAGTCCAGCCTCAGCTTGTACTCCACCGGACCATCCTCCTGCTCGCGGACGAGGAGCGGGGGCCCGCCGAAATTGCGGGGCGAGTGCCCGGCTCGGCCGTACCTGTGGAGGTGAGGGGCCAGGGGTTCGGGCGGGGGGGGCGTCAGCCGCCATCCTGGCCCGCATTCCGCCTCGCCTGTGCTTTTTGCGGGACGCTTTGCCATTCGTGGCAGGCCTGCGCCATGGGACGCGGGAGGAGCTTGGGTGGCAGATCATATGGTAAAGTGTGTGTCAGCGATCGGGCGCGCTCGACACATGGCGACGCGATCTGGGAATTAAAACACCCCATTAACTTCATTCCAGTACCAATCCTCACCCTGCGGGGTCTCGCATGTGTGCAGTGGTGCCGGGAGTCTCGTCGCCGGGCTGGGCCGTCTCTGCCTCCATGCAGGCAGTCACCTCTGCACCCCTTCCCATGCCCGCGATGTCTTCGAACCACCATCCCAGATCTTTACGGTGTGGGATGGAGGTGGGCTGGACCCTGTGACCTTGTATAGCGGCATGGTAGCCTTTCCCGTGGATTTCCACCGAGGCGGGTTCTGGTCCAGGCAGGCATCCCATTCCCACCGTTTGGATCCTGCTGCATTGCCGATGTCACGTCTCAAGTCCTAGGGTGAGAAGTGGGGCAGGGAAAAGTGCCACAAGACAATGCTTGGTCATTGTTGGGGGGGGTGACGGGGTTTTGAATAAGGGCTCCAGGTGCTGACGGCAGGCCAGGACTTCGGGACGGGCGGGACTCCCAGCAGACCAACCCTTCCGACGCAGGCAGGGCCTGTGCACGCCAGAGCCTGCCCAGCTGCGCCGCGCCCCCCTCACGCCTCCTGCTGTTGCAACCCCTTGCACCCACCAGCTGCTGGAAGCGCACATGGCTGACGGAGTCCAGCCTCAGCTTGTACTCCACCGGACCATCCTCCTGCTCGCGGACGAGGAGCGGGGGCCCGCCGAAATTGCGGGGCGAGTGCCCGGCTCGGCCGTACCTGTGGAGGTGAGGGGCCAGGGGTTCGGGCGGGGGGGGCTCAGCCGCCATCCTGGCCCGCATTCCGCCTCGCCTGTGCTTTTTGCGGGACGCTTTGCCATTCGTGGCAGGCCTGCGCCATGGGACGCGGGAGGAGCTTGGGTGGCAGATCATATGGTAAAGTGTGTGTCGGCGATCGGGCGCGCTCGACACATGGCGACGCGATCTGGGAATTAAAACACCCCATTAACTTCATTCCAGTACCAATCCTCACCCTGCGGGGTCTCGCATGTGTGCAGTGGTGCCGGGAGTCTCGTCGCCGGGCTGGGCCGTCTCTGCCTCCATGCAGGCAGTCACCTCTGCACCCCTTCCCATGCCCGCGATGTCTTCGAACCACCATCCCAGATCTTTACGGTGTGGGATGGAGGTGGGCTGGACCCTGTGACCTTGTATAGCGGCATGGTAGCCTTTCCCGTGGATTTCCACCGAGGCGGGTTCTGGTCCAGGCAGGCATCCCATTCCCACCGTTTGGATCCTGCTGCATTGCCGATGTCACGTCTCAAGTCCTAGGGTGAGAAGTGGGGCAGGGAAAAGTGCCACAAGACAATGCTTGGTCATTGTTGGGGGGGGGTGACGAGGTTTTGAATAAGGGCTCCAGGTGCAGACGGCAGGACAGGACTTCGGGACGGGCGGGACTCCCAGCAGGCCAACCCTTCCGACGCAGGCAGGGCCTGTGCACGCCAGAGCCTGCCCAGCTGCGCCGCGCCAAGGAGAATAGGGGGAATGGAGAGGGACGGGAGCTCGGCGCTCGCAACACCCCACGCCCGCGCAAGGCCGCTCCGCGACCCCTGCGTGCCTGGAGCACCCACAAGCACGCGCTTCGCACGCTGCCCGTGGCTCATCCGGCCTCCGCTCACCCACGCGCCCGCGTGTATCCGCGCCTCCCTTTCCACACACCGCGCGCGCCCGACCCTCGCGGCGCCTCAGCCCAGCAGCCTGCGGCGCAGCTCCCGTCGCATCATGGCCATCTCCTTGCCCACCCCGCCCAGCATGTCGGAGTTCTCCTGCGCGCGGCGGATGAGGTAGGGCATGGCCTCGTCCACGGAGCCGAAGGGCACGTACTTGTAGGCGCCGTAGCCGTGCTGGCCCAGCACGAAGGTCAGGTTGTCGGCCATGCCCAGGAGCTGGCCAAAGTAGACCCCGGCCTGCGGCCCCAGCCCGCGCTCCTCCATGGCCGCCACCGCGGCCTCGATGGAGGCCTGGTTGTGCGTCGCCACCATCATGCCCGCGCCCTCGTCCGCCACGTGGGCCATCACCTCGGCCACGCAGGCGTCGTAGGACTCGTGCGTCGCGGCCAGGCTGTCATGGATGGGGGAGGGCACGCCCAGCTCCGCGGCGCGCCGCCGCTCCACCACCATGTAGGCGCCACGCACGAGCTTGGCGCCGAAGCGGTAGCCGCCACGCCGCGCGCGCTCCAGGTCGAAGGCGAGCCGCGGCAGCGCGTCCTTCAGGTAGCACTGGTAGGTGCCGAACACGATGGGGCGCTCCCGGTTGTGCTCCGCCTGCAGCTGCGCGGTGGCGTGGTCCACCGCGGGCTGGAACCAGGAGTGCTCCGCGTCCACCATCAGGCGCACCCCCGCCGCCGCGGCCGCCGCCGCCAGGCGGTCCACCCGCCCCAGCATCTTGCGCAGCAGCTCGTTCTCCTCCTCGTTCAGCGCCGCGTCGGAGAAGGGGCCGCGGCTGCGGCACCGCTTCGCGATGCTGTTGGTGTCGAACAGCGAGATCTTGAGCAAAGGGAGGGGGTATCAAGGGGGGGAGGAGTTGTACTTGGCGCCAAGGGTGGGAGGGGGCGGGGAGTGAGGGTGTATACAGGTGGGGAGGCGCCCTCTGGGACGGTGGCAGGGGAGGCGGGGCGGGGCCGAAGTCAAGCGCCCAGGAAATGCCTGCCGACGAAACTGCGGCGGGTTTCGAGACTGGGTCTCGCACCCTTCCTTCCACCGGATGGGGAAGGCCCCACCCCTGCCGGACCGCCCCGCACTCACCTGCCCCGTCCAGTCGATGTAGTCGACCTGGCCGTCCTTGGTCACGTCCAGCTGCTCAAACCACTGCGAGCCAAGGAGGACGAGGCAATGGAGTTTGGGGGGGTCTGACCACTACATCACATGCCAA